AACTAGACTGAAGAACAAAACGACAGCAACTTGTCTGTTCCCCTTCCCCCAATTCCCCAGCACTGTTCCCATCCCCCAATTCCTTAATTAAAAAAAAAAAGACACTCTTTAAATATAAGTATGCAGAAAGGTGGAAGGTAAATAGGTGGAAAAAATATAACATGCAAACACTAACTAAAAGAAAATTTCACTTTAAGGCAAGTAGCATAACTATAAATAAAGACTTTTCATAATGAAAAAAGTATCAATGTATCAGAAAGATACAATGTTCTAAAATTTGTATGTACCTAATAACAGTATAAAACATATAAAGCAAAAGTTGGCAGATCTAATAGAAAAAGCAAAAGTTGACAAATCTAATAGAAATAAATCGTCCACATAGTGGGAAAATGTAATGTACCTTTCTCAGTGGTTGATTGAACAGACAAAATCAGTAAGGATGTAAAAAATTTGAACAACAGAATTAATAAACTTGACATGATTGACAGATTTAGAACATTACATCCAACCGTGGCAGAAAATAGCTTCTTTTCAAGTACACATGGAACATTTACCAGTATTTTTCAAAGCTGGGCCATAAAATTTTATTTCAGTAATTCTTATCTCATTTAATACCCACGCCACATTCTAATTTCCCCAGTTGTCCCCAAAATGTCCTTTACATCTGATAGTCCAAAGCAGTATCCTCTCAAGGACGAATATTTCATGTGATTAATATTTCACTTGTCTCTTTTAAATTAGCACAGATCTCCTCTGCATCCTTTTCTTTATGACAGTGATTTGTTGAAGGTATTACCATGTTGTCCTGCAGAATGTCCCATCTTCTGGATTTGTCTGATTGGTTTTTGTTTTGTAAATAAAAATGTATCATATGTGTGTGTATATATATGTATATATATATATATATATTTTTTTTAAAGATTTTATTGAGGAATTGGGGGAGGGGAACAGCATTGGGGAATCAGGGAAGGGGAACAGACAAGTTGCTGTCCTTTTGTTCTTTAGTCTAGTTGTGGAGGTCATCACTTCACTGGCCCATGTTGGTATTATCATTGCGCTCTTCCCACATGAGGCAGTTGCTTGCCGGCCACTCACGACGGCTCACGGCAGCTCACGAAAGCGCACGCCAGCTGCCGGCCAGCCCCACTGTAGCCTACGCCATCGCCGATGACTCATGGCAGCCCAGCTCCTGGTCGAGCTGTTGTTCACCATCTTAGCTGTAGAGGGCACAGCATCACTGGCCCATGTGGGATCTGAACCAGGGCCCTGCTGCTCAGAGCTGGCGTCCCATGCCAACTCTTAACCAATGTGCTATTTGGCCGGCCCCCTTGTTTATTTCTTATAAACTGAAAATTATATCTAAAGTTTGATGGTTTGAAGTTAAAGGAGTTTTGCTAAATATATTCTAGGTAATGTTGTATACTTTATATTGCATCACAGCAGAAAACAAGTCTTATTGATTCATCATTAGTAAGGCAAAGGCTGACCACTAATTGAAGGAGGTGCTAGACTGACAACCTCCAGTTTACAATTATATTTTACATCTTAAGACTAGAATGCAATCTGTGCAGTGTACTGTGGCACTACAGAAATGTACAAATTTCCATCAACCATTCATTCAGTGGTTTTAACATCAATTAATAATTCTTGCCTAAAGCAATTATTTCCATAGTATTTGTGGAATGTTTTTCTAATTCAATCATTCAAAGTATTAAATCTGTAGATAATCAAATATAGCAATCTTTTCCTTTGTGTATTGTTAGGATGCTTAGAATGGCTTTTCCAGCTTGAAGTCTGAAAAATATTCACTCTTATTTTCTAGTTCTTTTTCTGTTTTATTTTTTCACAATTCAATCTTTAATCCTTTGGTATTTATTTTTATATAATGTAGGAACTAACTTTAATTTTTTCTCCAAATAGCCAACTTTCCAAAAATTTTTATCAACTAGTAGATTTTCTTATTGGTTTAAAATTTATTTTACTTTATCCTTATATATACTTGGATCCATTCCTAGGCTATTTCTTCTCTATTGATACATAAATATAATTCCTTACACCCATATCATTGTTTGATTTTTCTTGTAGGATTTTTTTTACTATGATAGTATAAATTTCCTCTGTAAAAATGTTTAAAGGGTGTATTGTGCCAAGAGGAAACACTGCAAAATATCTAAATATTTACATTTACATTTGGAATACATAAAGGTTGTTTTTATATCAGATTCTCTCTGCAGTATATAATCAGGCAGCATTAAATAATGGTTAAGAATGGGATATATATATATATATATATATATATATATATATATATGGTATAATTTTGGCCCTAATACTACCAATAAGATAACCAACCTTTCTTCAGTTTCCTCCTTTGTAAAATCAGTATTAATATGGTATCAACCTCAAAGCGTTGTTTTGAATATTAAGTGAGATACTATATATAAATTGTCTAGAAAGTTGCCTGTCTGTGTATGTGCTTTATAAGTTACAGCTTTTAAAATAGTGGCCAAGAATACCAGTTCTGATGCAGGTTCTAACTCATTACCATGTGATCTTAGGCTAGTCACTTAACCCCTCTGTGCCTCAGTTTCCTGAAATTCACCAGTGCTGAGGTGCACATCATCCTCTTTCCTTTTTTAATGTTTCTGAAATTGGGATGCAGTGTACAGTCAATGGTGTTTTATAGTCACTGTAGGCCAGGCAGTATTCCTGATATACTATTATTGTCTGGGCCACAGTTTATATTAAAACTTTTAGAATGGGTGCCAGTGGGTAGGGATTTTTTTTCCTGGAGGCTAACATGAAACACTGTTTTGACCCTTAAGAGCCAGTTGGTTGTAGAGTGCATGTGGGAGAGGTAAATTACTGTAGATTATAGAAATGAGCATAGTCCTTCACTCTTCCCTGTAACCTTGGCTTTCACAATATGACTTTATAGCAACTCCATCATTAAATGTTTTTTTTCCACTCTCCCCTCGAATTTCAACTGGCCTTGTGATTTGCTTAGCCAGTGGAATGCAGTCGAAGTGGTGGTGTGCCAAGTCTGAGTATTCAGGGAGCTTGTGCTCTTTTCTTTTGGAACCCTGTCAAGCTCTCAACTAGCTTGAGTTGGCCTGCTGGAAAATGAGAGACCATGTGGTACAGAGACACAGTCCATCTCAAGAGAGGCCATACTAGTCCAATTAGCCTCCAGCTGGCCTGGCCAGTGAGTGCAGATGCATGAGTATGCCCGCTGATACCAGAAGAGCCACCAGCTAAGCCCAGCTAACTTTGCCTAACTGCAGAATTTTAACCTAAATAAATGGTTACTGTTTCAAGCCACTAAGTTAAGTGGTGGTTTATTTTTCTGCAGAAGCTAACTAATGTAGACATACTTAGCAAAATTCCCAAAGTGGTAGTTAAAAGTAGTCTAGTTCTAACATAATTTTAAAGGCACCGAAGAAACCAGTATTTTCAGTTATTGTGAATTCTTTTAGTTCTTTTGTGTATTCTTTTAAGAAAATCTGTTTCAACAATGCTCTTGATTGCAACAAGATTGAAATTATGCAGAAAAAAATAACAGACATCAATGACAAGCATATGAAAAGATGCGCAACACCACTAATCATCAGGAAAATTCAAATCAAAACCAGAAAGAGATATCACCTCACACCCATTTTGATTGCTGCTATCAGAAACAGAAAATAACAAGTGTTGGCAAGGATCTGGATTAATTGGAACCTTTATGCACTGTTGGTGGGATTGTAAAATAGTGTAGCCATTATGGAATACAGTATGGAGGTTCCTAAAAAATATTAAAATAGTACTACCATATGATCCAGCAATTCTACTTCTGGGTATATACCAAAAGAACGGAAAACAAGATCTCAAAGAGAAATTTTTGCACACGGATGTTCATTGTAGCATTATTCACAATAGCCAAGATGTGGAAGCAATATGAATGTCATTGATGTGATGGATGAATGGATAAAGAAAATGTGGTATAAACATACAATAGAATATTATTCAGCCTTAAAAAAGAAGAAAATCCTGTCATATGCTACAACATATGGACTTTGAGGACATTATGCTAAGTGAAATAAGTTAATCTCAAAAAGACAAATACTGTATCATTCCACTTACATGAACTATCTGAAATAGTCAAACTCAGAAACAGAAAGTACAAAGGTAGTTTCCAAGACTCTGAAAATGAGGAATTTCAATTATACCTTATCCAATGTGTTTCACTATATTTTCCTTTTTATGAGTATGCAAGAGTGATATAAGACTAAAAATATATGCTTAGAAAGAATTAAAAGAGTTCTTGTAATAATTTATATTTGTAACTTATAAATTCTAAGGGTAAGAAAACATTGTGTCATTTTATTGGGAACATTTTCTTTGCTATTGGTGTATAAAATAAAAATGCATCTTACAATCAGTGGAATCTTAGAGTTGTCATGGGGAAGCTGCATTGCCATAAAGAAATAAAATATTGTACTATCTTCAGTCTGATCTTTTTCCCAAGAGAAAGAAAATTACATTTTAAATAACAACAATAAATCCACCCCCCTGCCAGATAAAGTTGTGTGTATGTGCTTTGAGTTTTCTCTGCAGACAGTAATGATTAAGCCTAACAATGAGCTGGATACTCATTTTATAGAAACAGTGAAGTATAGGGTGGCCCAATAATGTTGGCAATTTAAAATTTTTTCCAACGCAAGATTTAAAAAATTTTTCTATTCAATCAAAGCATGTACCCTCAAAGTGGGAGTATTTTGTCTCTTCGTTACTTATCCTTATTCCTCTCACTTCCTTTTCTTGTGTTGCTTTCTAGTTTCAGTACAATGTTGAGTAGTTGGGGTTTCAGTTGTCATCACTGCCTTATATTCATTTTAGTGGAAATGATACAAAGGTTTTACCATTATGTTTGATATTCATTATAAGATTTTTGGTACATACCCCTCATCAGGTGTATAAGGTTGGATCTTTAATCTCTCTCTCTGTCATTTTTTAAACAGTGGCAACATTGAAACAATGGCATCCTAAAGAAGATGAGGGGAAGGTGGGAATGGCCTCTGGCATTGAGGTGGATGAGGAACAACTAGAACCAAGATCTGATGATGATGATACGTAAGTAGGTCATATCCAGGTGCCTAAATGAAAGGAGAACGTTCAAATGCTGTTGTTGAGACATAGAAGATACCCTCAGAAACCTACCTGAGGAGACCAGGTTTTTTTATATTCATGGGTTTGTTTCTGGGCTCTCCATTCTTTTCCAGTGGCATTGTCATCTATCTCTGCATCAGTGGTGTTCTGTCTTGATTACGGTGGCTTTATCATACCTTTTGATATCTGGTAGGGCTAGTCCCCACACCTTCATCTAGTCTCCACATCTTTTTCTTCAAACTTATCTTAGCTGTTGTTTCCCTTTATCAACATATATACCTTTACATTCTCTTGTAAAGTGTCATGAAAACTTGGTTGGGATTTTGATGAGAATGACATTACATTTCTTGATTAATTTGAATAAGAATTGACATCTTTGTGATTATAAATCTTGACAGCCATGAATATAGTACAGCTCTCCATCTGTCATGTCTGTTTTTATATTCTTCAGTATTTTTGTAGTTTTCTTCATGGCATAGGTGCCATTTAATTTTTGGGTTTTTTTGTTGCCATTGTTAATAGGGTCATTTTTCTCTTGTGCTTTCAACTTGGCTGATGCTGGTGTATAGAACACTATTGCTGTTTTATCTTGTAACCTTATTGAATTCTCTTATTAGTTTTAAAATTTGGAGTCCTTTGAATTTTAAAAATGTTATTATAATTTACTTTAAAATATGGTAATATATTCATATCGTTCCAAATTTAAAAGGTACACTCTTTCTGAAGTCTTCCTACTGTCTCTACCTCAGCCATACAATTCCTCTCCCCAATGGGAACCAATCTAATCTGCTTTTTGTGCATACTTCTCCTGAGGAATTCCATTAAAATGTAAGCAAATATGTATAACTTGTGTATATATGTGTTCTATTTCTCTTTTACAGAAATAGTTTCATAGTGTACATACTATCATGAAACTTTCTTTTTTCCCTTAGCAGTGTTTCTTGAATACCTATCGCCATATAAAATAGTCATATGTGTGTGTGTGTGTGTGTGTGTGTGTGTGTGTGTGTGTGTGTATTTAAATCCCAGAACAGCAATGTATTGGGTCAAAGAATATGTACATTTGTATTGGATATTGTCAGATTGTTCTTGTCAATTATAAAATTGATAATTAAAAAACCATTACAGAGGCCGGCCGAGTGGCTCAGTTGGTTAAGAGCTCACTCAAGAGTGTGAGCTCTGAGCAGCAGTGGTTCGATTCCCGGCCAGAGCTGAGCTGCCGCTGAGCTGCCAAAAGGTGGCAGGATGGCTTGGCTAAAAAAATATATAAAAAAGTAAAAAAACATTGCAGTTTAGTTTTAATTAGTTTTGTTTGTTTTTTTTTTAATGAGTGAGGTTGTCTTTACATATGCTTAAGATCCATGTTTGTTTCCTCCTGTGGGAACAATTTATTAAATGACCTTAGCTGTTTAAAAATTTAGGCTATTAATATTGTATTCATTTGGGGAACTTTTTGTATATTAGAAAAATTAGTTTTTTATCTGTAATACGATTTAAGAATATTTCCTCCAGTTTTTTGTTTGCCTTTTGATTTTATTTATTATAGTGGCTTGCACCATGTAGGAATTTCTTTTTTCTTTTTTTTTTTGGAATTTATTATTTTTATTTAGTTAGATTTATCATTTTTTTAAATAAAAAGTGATATCAGGATTTAAAAAGAACTTTTATAATGTAATTTTCTATTTAGTTAAATATTTTATTTATCTGAAATTTTACTTGTATTATACTGCGAAGTGTGGCTCCAACTTTATTTTTTTCCCCCAAATAAGTCCTTACTGTTCCAGCGCCATTTATTGAAAATCTTTGTTTTTGCTACCAATTTGAAATGCCACTTTTATGATATACAGAATTTTTATATGTATTTCCATCCTACTTCTATTCTTTGTAGTCTGATTACTGTATTATAAACTGTATTATAAGTGCTTATACTATGGATTATTATTTGGGGGGCCTGGTTCCCCCAAATATTTCTGTTTTTCAGGATTTTCCTGTCTAGTCTTGTTTATTTTTCCATATGAACATTAGAATCAACTTGTCTAGAAAATAAAGGAGGAAAGAAAGGGACAGAGGGAGGGAGGAAGGTAGGGGAGAGAAAAAGAGGAAGGAGGGAGGGAAGGGAAGGAGAGGAAGGTGGGAAGAGAGGGAAGGAGGGAGAAAGGAAGGAAGAATTTTCTCAGCCTGCTTGCTGCCAGGAGAATTTGGATTCCAGCAGCCTCTGCTGATTTAGCACTGTCTCTGTCCACTTGGTCCAACCTTGCTATGTTTCTGCATATATATTTTTTCAAAAGTCTTGTAAAGTCTTGCAAATCTTACTGGGGTTCACTTCATTAGACAAAAGCCAGACCCCGCAAATCTTTTTGAGATAAACCACACTCAGTCTTGAGCTTTTGCTCAAGATGTTCCCCTTAAGCTTCCTAAAAACCCTACTGTTTGAGAATAATTTTGAGATTCACCCAAGTTGTTACATGTATTGAAAGTTCATTCTTTTTATTGCTAAGCAGTATTCTGTTGTATGGATGTACCACAATTGATTTATACATTCTCCTATTGATGGACATTTGGGTTGTTTCTAGTTTTGGGCTATTACAAATAAAGCTGTTGTGAATATTTATGTAAATGTCTTTGTGTGTGGCCATAGGTTTTCATTTCTCATGAGTAGTAAATTCCTAGGAATGGAATGACTAAATTGTATGGTAGGTGAATGTTTAACTTTTTACGAAATTGCCAAACTGTTTTCCAAAGTGGTGGTGCCATTTTACATTCCCATGAACAGTGTGTAATAGTCTAGTGGCTCTGCATCTTTATCAACGCCCAGTATGGTCAGTTTAAAAACTTTTAACTAATTTAATGGGTGTGTATGGTGTCTTCGTAATTTTGAGTTGCAGGCATTGTTTACATATCCTTGCTACCAGTCCTGCCACTCTCTTGAGTTTTCTTATTAATTTTCTTAATAGTATGATTCAAGCCTGAAGTGTCTGACTAATGTGTTTTTAAATCGTTCTTTTAAAAGTCAGGATTTCTAATTTATTTGGATTTTGGACAGAGACCATCATCTAAATATTAGTGATTTAAAAAAAATGTATTGGGACTCTTATTGCCATTTAGTACAATGTCAATTTTATGACTGTAACATATGTACTTGGAAAACAAATGCACGTTCTTACTATTTTGGGGCTACATATGTTCTATATGATTATTATATCAAGCTTAAAAATTTTTTTTGTTTATTATTCTATAACCTTTGTTTTTTGCTTCCAGTAAAATCTGAACTATGGTAAAATCTGAACAGAGATACAGTAAAATCTGAACTATGTTTGTGGTTTTGATGCTTTCTCATAAATCTGGTTTCCTTTTCAATGTACTTTAAATATATAGAAGCTCAGTTTGATAGAGTGTGCATTTTTTACATTATGTATTGTCACTTTTGTCCCTAATTAATGCTGTTTGCCTTAAATTCTATTTTGTCTGATACTGATATTGCTATTTCAATTTTTAAATTATTTTATTTTATTTTTTAGTATTTTTATGACATATTTTTCTATTGTTTTATTTTTATCGTTTCTGTGTGGTTTCATCATAATGTGTGTGTGTTTTTAAAATTTTTTTTCTTTCTTTTCTTTTTTTAATTGGGGAACAGTGTGTTTTTCCAGGACCCATTAGTTCCAAGTCAAGTAGTTGCTTCAACCTAGTTGTGGAGGGCACAGCTCAGTGGCCCATATGGGAATAGAACCGGCAACCTTGGTGTTATGAGCCTGTGCTCTAACCAACTGAGCTAACTGCCCACCCTATAATGTGTTTCTTACAAAGTACTTGTAGCTGATTGATATGCTCCTTGTCATGTGATAATTCTGTCTTTAATTAGTTTAATTGAATGAAATTAATTATAATTATCAACATATTTGGGCTTCACTATAAGATTTTTTTTTGTTAATATTTTTTTATTGGGGGGATGGGAACAGACAAGTTGCTGTTGTTTTGTTCTTCAGTCTAGTTGTGGAGGACGTTGCTTCACTGGCCCAAGTTGGCACCATCATTGCGTTCTTCCCTGGCGAGGCAGATCAGTCGCCGGCTTCTGGATGGCCGCTCACTGCGGCTGCTGGCCGCTCACGCTGGCTGCTGGCTACACACAGTAGTCCATGGCAACCCACTGCAGCAGGGGCTGCAGCCTACGCCGTCGCTGGGCGACTCACGGCAGCCCAGCTCCAGGTTGAGCTGTTGGTCAGTATCTTAGCTGTGGAGGGCAGTGTCACTGGCCCTCATATGTGGGATCCGAACCGGGACCCTCTGGCGTCCCAAGCCAGTTCTTAACCATCGCGCCACTCGGCCGGCCCTTCACTGTAAGTTTTAAGCTTGATTTTGTGTTTTACCTCCACGTCTCATTTCCTTTTCCCTCTTCTTTTCCAGCCTTTTGTAAGGTTGACAAACTTTTCTATATTACTGTTTTTCCTCTATACTAGTTTTTAAGATACAGACTATATTTCTATTCTTTTAATAGTTAGCTTTTATACATTACCTACAAATTGATCTAACAGATTCAAAAGTTGCTCAGTATTCCTTTCTCTCTCCCGAATATGAAAATCACAGTTTAAATAACCACTAAAACCTTGGCATCCTGATATTGTTTTTTAGTTATAATTTTATTTAAAAAACTTTTTCATTGTGGAAAATTTCAAACATAGTAAAAGTAGAGAGAATAACATAATAAACCCTCATGTAGCCATCATCTAGCTTTAACAATGATCAACATTGCTCTTTACTTCCCCCACACCTCCTACACATTATTTTTTGTAAGTTTGGAACATTCTAACTTTTAGACATCAAATAATTTCATCCAATTTTACCTTTTTAAAAATAGATAAATATATACATATTTAAAATATAGAAATCTGTATCATTTTCAAGTATATGTTTAATCTCAAACTTAATTCAGTTTGCCAACATAGTTTATCATTTCCTACACTTGCCATGTTTTTTTCTAGTCCATCCTTTCCTCTGGTTTCAGTTTTCTTCTTGTCAATGTATATCATTTAATAATTCTTTAAGATAGGTCAGACATTGGCATACTCTCTTATTGACTGCATGTCTAAAATTGTTTTATTTGAACCTTGATCTTTAGCAGTAATGTAGCTGGGCAAACCATTTTAGGTTGACAGTTATTTTTCTTCTGGTCTCTATTATTGTTGATGAGAAATCTGCTGTCATCTAATTGTTTTTCTTTTAGAAATATGCCAACTTTCTCTCTAGTACTTTCATAATTTTCTTCTTATCTTTATGTTCTTATGTTTCACTGTGGTATGCCTAGGTCTGGATTTGTCTTTTTTCCTTCTTGGTTCACCTTATTCTGAGAACTTCTTTTTTCAGTTCTGGAAAATTTTTACTTATTATTTCTCCAAATACTGCTTTTCCTATTCCCTCCATTTTGGACCTCCAATTAGATATAGCTCCTCAATCTCTCCCCAATAACATCTAATGGAACTTCCATATTTTTATTCTTTTTATTCCATTTTAGGTGAATTTTTTAATACTGTTTTCCAATCTTATCTATTAAGTTTTTTTTGTTTGTTTTTTGTTTTTTTAGCTGAGCCATCCTGCCACCTGTTGGCAGCTCAGCGGCAGCTCAGCTTAGGCCGGGCATCCAACTGCTGTTGCTCAGAGCTCAAACTCTTGAGCGAGTGAGCTCTTAACCAACTAAGGCACTCGGCCGGCCCCCTATTATTAATATAAGTTATCTATTTCATCTCTAAGATTTATAATTTTTGTATGTATTCTTGCTTCATTATTGCATAATTATTTTCCTTATTTTAAAAACATTTTAAAATGGATGCTGTGCTTTAGTTTATCTCTTTGAGCATACTTACTTTAAGAGCTTTATCGAAATCCTCCTCCCTCGCTGCCATCTGTTGAAAGTCAGCCCTCCACACAAGGAGCTTGTAAATGAATAAACAAATAAGCAAGGAAATAAGAATGAAAAAAAAATCCTTTATAAAAATAGTTTCACCTGGAGTCAGTTCATGTTCTAATTTTTTTGTTGTTCATGCCCATCTTTATTACCGTTAGATTTTATTCATGTATTATGGGATTCTAGTTCGCGGGCTCATTTTGTTTTGGAGGGTTTTTATTTTTTTTCCTTTTTAAATTTTCTTCCTTCCCTTCCTGTCTCTGTGTACATCCTATATACCTAGTAGGTTTTTGTTTTCTTCAATGGGTTCTCCTCCATTCTTGTTAGCTGGAACCTTTGAAGGGCTACACATCAGTACAAAGGTGGTCTAGAAAACAAATCCAGTAATGTGGCTTGTCTGTGTTGGTCCAGTCTCTGGGGGAAAAATTCTTCCTGAGAAATTTATAACCATGGATTTGCATTCACTCAGATTTGGAGTTTGAATTTACAATACCTGGATAGTCTGGAAACATGTACATTGAGAAGTTAACATTAAAATTCACAGTAAGGGATAATACTCTGGGATCACTAGAAGAAAAATATATAAAACACGCTGGGGAGCTATAACTTCAATCCAGATGACATCAAGTTTTCTCACTAAAGTACTACTGAAGGTGACTCACAATTAAAAATTTAAAAACACAATCCACTATGAGAGATAGCAAACACAACAAATAGCTGAGTTAGACCATAAAGAACTTCAGATAATATAATTATTTACAAATGCTAATATTTGTATAATTAATATTGTATATTTAAAATTATTTAATTAAAATAAGGACTCAAAACATGAGAGAAAAGCAGACCCATCAAAAAAAGAGTAGGAAGATTTGATAACAAACCAAATAGAACTTTTGGAAGTGAAAAAAATCTACCGATAGAAATTAAAATTCCACTGACAGTGTAAAAAACAGAATAGGTACCGTTAATGAAGGAATTAGTAATTGGAAGATATATCTGAGGAAAAAAGTGTAGAAAATGTGAAAGAGGTGTTAAGAGGCAGGAAGGTCCAATATATATCCAAAAATAATTGCAGGAGAGAGTAGGGGGAAAGCAATATTCAAAACAATTATAGCTGTGGACTTTTTATAATTATTGAAAGGCATAAATCATATCTGGGAAATAAAACAACAACCAAGCAGAAACAATGAAAAGAAATTCACACCTAGACACATCATGTTTAAGTTGTAGAGAAATGAGGACAAACGGAAGATCTTGTGGAAGAACATACCTCAATAACGATAGCTTAACAAATGATGGCTGTAATTTGTAGTCCACCCTAAATTTATGATCTCTAGTTTCAGTGGGGGCCTGTGTGATATCTAGTAATCCAATGACTGGTCAGTTTCCTTGCAAACCCTCAGCCCTGCACACTAACCCCCATCGACCCTGCTGTCATCATGTGACTGTGCCTCCTACTTAACAGAGACAGCGTGTGGCTTGTAGGTGGCATCATCTAATGGTTTTCTAGTTCCATAATGTGTCTAAGTCCACATGGGTCCTTATCTCCTTCTCTCTCCCTATCTTCCTGCTTAGATGAAAAATTGTCTCCCTTTCTGCTGTAAATCCTAGCCTTTTTTTTTCTGTGATCTTGTTCCTAGCAATTGATCTGCTTTTTTTCTATATTTTCAGTGTCTCTCTATTACCTATTACCTACTTTCTCTCAACATATAAACATGCCCAAATTTCTCTCATCTTGAAAAACAAACAAACAAAACCATTACTCCCATGTTCTTGAGATAATACTGTCCTTTCAGAGCTGGACTCCCCTCAGAGGAATTTAAGCTCATTGTCACCACTTTCTTACCTCGCACTGCTTTCTTGAGCCACTGTGATGGCTTCTGCCACATAGCACTCTGAAATACTCTCCAAAAGGTCATATATTACCTTGAAATTGCCAAGTCTGATTGTCATTTCTCAGGCCTCATCTTATTTGGCTGTTCCCTCTTTTTTTTTTTTTTTGAAGATTTTATTGGGGAATTGGGGGAGGGGAACAGCGTTGGGGAATTGGGGGAAGAGGAACAGACAAGTTGCTGTCGTTTTGTTCTTCAGCCTAGTTGTGGAGGACATTGCTTCACTGGCCCAAGCTGGCACCTTCATTGAGCTCTTCCCGGGTGAGGCAGATCAGTCGCCGGCTTCTGGACGGCTGCTCACGGCGGCTGCTGGCCGCTCACGCTGACTGCTGGCTACATATGGTAGACCATGGCAACCCACTGCAGCAGGGGACTGCAGCCTATGCCGTCGCTGGCGACCCACGGCAGCCCAGTCCCAGGTCGAGCTGCCGTTCACCATCTTTTGGCTGTTCCCTCTTTGTGGATATTTTCAGCTCCCTTGATGTCCATGATAAACATGCTTGGCTCTTACCAGCTCTTCAGTCACTTTCACTTGCCACTGAAATGTTAGTGATCTTTGAGATGGTTTTCTTGGCCTTGTGCCTTCTTCTCTTCTAAATGTATCAGTGTTGCAGTCTTAGACACAATTTCAATTCCTCTTCCTTCTAATTAGTAAATGTGAGACCTTGAGCATGTTTTTTTCAATCTTCCTGAGCCCAGATTCTTTATAAATTGATGATAATGTCTACCTCAAGTTTTGTTAGTATTAGATGAAATATAGTATGTGTAAAGTGCTCTAAGGCAGTGTCTGACATATAGGAAGGGCTCAATATATATGGCATATTCCTTTTTCTTTTTTCCCCTCTTCCCTCTTCTCCTTTTAAACATAAGAGTAGATGGGTATTAATAAATGTAATAAAGGTTGTTCAACAAAAGTCCAACTAAACATAACATTGATTCTCCCAACCTAAGTTATCATTCTTTGAAAAACCAGACTGGTATGATCATTTATGATCTAGGTGAGAATGCAGTTTCATAGTGCTCAAGTGAGGGTGAGGCATGAGAAGGGAAACTGATTTTCCTATTTACTCTTCAGTGTTTTGCTATTATGAAATTGACTTTTACTGTTTATTATTTCAGAAATTTTGAAGAATCTGAAGATGAGTTAAGAAACGAAGTGGTGGAATCCCTGGAAAAACTCACTACTTCCAGAGAGGAGGAGAAAAGAGAAGAGGCTTCCGGTTCCTCTAAAGACACTGAAACGTTAGAAGAAAGCAGATAAAACGCAGAAATATACAGAGTTAAATGAAGGTTTGGAGAACATTTATACTCCATCTAATGACAAAATTTTTATTGTTGATCAAGACCAACTGTGATTATTGTACTATTTTTTTTTTAAGCAATAAGCTAGTATCTATTAAGTATAGTATCTGTTTGGGTATGTCATAAATATTCATGTATTTATAAGGCTTTTCCAGTAATCACAAGGACTTACTAATTTTACTCACTAAATTTAGACAATATAACTTGAGTGTAGAAAGTAATATTTTTACTTTAACATTTTTATTAAGAAATCTTTCAGGCAATATATGTTGTAGGTGGAGTAAAGTGGTTCCCCCTCCTCAAATGTGAATGTGTTATGTTACATGGCAAAGCAGAATTAAAGTTGCAGTTGGAGTTAAGGTTGCTAATCAGTTGACCTTAAAGTAGGGAAGTTAGCTTCCATTATCCAGGTGGGCCCAATGGAATCACGAGTCTTTAAAAGTGGAAGAGGGAGGCAGAAGAATCAGAGAGATGACAGTGTGAGAAGGAGCTCGCCTGATGCTTCCGACTTTGAAGATGAAGGGAAGAGCCAAAACCCAAGGAATGCTGGTACCCTCTAGAAGCTGGGAAAGGCGAGGGAAAGTATTTCCCTCCAGAGCCCTGCTGACACCTCGGTTTAGCCTAGTGAAATCCATTTTAGACTTCTGACCTACAGAACTCCAAGACAATAAATTTGTGTTGTTTTAACTTTGTGGTAATTTGTTAATAGAAAACTAATACAAATTCATTCATTTAAAATAATGAATCTGCCATTTTATAAAACCGTGATTTTGAAATTTCTTAAGTTATACCGAAATTATTTGATGTTGACCTGGGAGTAAGGCAATTGAATGAGGAACAAGGCGTCATTAATTATATGCCAAATAATCACCTTATTATGTTTTATTGAATTATTTTCTGGTAGTTTCAAATGTATAGGTTATAAACTCTTATGATGGTCTTTTTATATGTAATGCTTAACACAGTGCCAGAAATGTTTCTTAAATGAATAAATGATAATACAATTTCCTTATTAAGACTGTAAGCTCTTTGAGTCAGGAAACTAGGCTTTTTGTGTATTGATTATAACAATCCCACTGTTGAACATGTGCCTGGATCTTAATAGATATTGCTGATTTATCTGCTACTATGAAGGACAGGGTTGTTCTACTTCTAAGTGATAGAATTCTGAATGAAATTATCTGCTCTATAATAAAAATAAAACAAAATTTGCACATTGATATAGTGTTGAACCAAGAAAACCTATTTATTCTTCTTGGGCATGAAAAGCAAGAAGATTTTGTTGTGTTTCAAAATTGTTTTTCTTTTAAAAAAATGTCTTGGCATGTGAAGCTTGAAATATTGGTAGTAGATAATAAATTCACAATTGGGAGACTACATGAGGGGTATAAAGGCACCATACTGTGAAAAGTATCCAAGGTAATGAAAATCATTTCTTTAGATCATATTTAGATACAAATAATGATTTTGTATCTTAAATCTAAATCATGTTTAGATACAGATAGATTGCTATACAAAAAACATGCATGACTGGAAAAAGAATGGAAATGTACTACTGCTGTGGACACTCAAAAGCAACATTAGGAATTAATAATCACAGCATTTCTCCAGATTGTTGCTGACATATTATTTTAACACTTTTCATGGCTATCACTCAGAAAAACAAAAACATATATTATAATACATTAGGAACAGTAAAAGTAAACATATATGCAAATTACACTTTCCAATGAGATGTTTGTGATAAATGAAAATTATTTTGAAGAAACAGCTTAAATGTTTTATGGACTTTCAGAATCCTTTCTTTCTTACTACATCCTCTACTTCTGCTCCATTTCAATTTCTTTATCTTGGGTCCCATGACTTTCTTTAGGTAGGACAGGCTACGTGGACAATGGTGTAAATCCTACCTCAAAGACTAGCTGTAAGATTAAGGAAAAGCACAGGGCTGGAGTCAGAACACCAAGGTTATAATACAGATTGTGTCCTTCAACAGCTTTGTGATACTGAAGGAGTCTAAGTTCTTTAAACTGTTCTTTTCTGTAAAGTTGAGAATAAAACTGGACTATAGAATTTGTAGCATTCCTTCCATCTCCAATTTCCACCAGTCTTTCTTTCTAAATTGAATGATCTCCGATACAAAGCTGTGTTGGTGGGTGTATCAGAACATCCTGGGACTCTGTTTTGCTGCTTTTTGATCTGATGACAGTAGACAGCCTGCAGATAAATCAACAATGTAATTGGGAGTAGATAATGAAGCTGGCTAGATGGATGAATGGATGAGAGGAGATTGAAAAGGAAAAACATACCTCTTTAACAGGCCCCAACACAAAAATGTATCAGATTGGGAAGGAGGTCAATTCATTGAGTTAGAAGGAATTGACTATGTATGCCAAAAGTTGTAGGTCTCCATAGCCATATCTGCATATGCATAAATTCACTTTTCCATGCTAGTGATTCAGGATTAAAGTCCTGTTAAATTATACTGGTTCCTAGCTACTGGCTTAGTAACCAAGAATCTACATAGGGTTGTAATGCACTGATAAAGATTCGATTACAGAAGACGTTTACATATACTGTTACCATAAAAGTAACTTTTATAATTTTCAAAGTACTTCCATATACTTTCCATGTTAGTATGAGAACTCCAAAAGCCAGTGAGGACAGGCATTACTATGTCCAGATTATAGAGGATGAATCTGAAACTCAGAAAGATGAAGGAAAAAGCTTTTAGTGACAAAAGGTCAGATGCTTGTAAATGAAGAAGCTGATGTCAGGCCCAGGTATTCTGCTAGGCCAATGCTTTCTTCAAAACACCACCATGTTGTCTTATAATGTGTGATGCTCCCACAGAGCTTGTGCATGGATCTGTATATTATGTCATCACGATCAGAAAAACAACAGATGTTCTTACTCTGCCACCCTGATGACTTAAAGCTGACTTCCCACCTCTGAATTGTGGAATGTTAAGTCGTAATGAGAGCCCCATACAAACGTACTGACAGCACTAAACAAAAACTATTTTCACAAGTACCTCGTTATGGAAAAGATGACCAGGAGTGCCTTGGCTGCTACATGCCTACTCACACCCAGAGCAGTCACCGTCGGTTCGTCTTTTGACTACATGCTTTTAGAATGTGATTAAGTCTGCTTAAAGTTTCTCTTTTCTTTTAAGAAAATCATATTCAAAAAGGTCATCTACAATATCATTTAAAATGTAAATGTACCAGAATTTTTCAGTGTTCTAAAAATGTCAAAACAATTCTAAAGGACCGATCAATTATCTGTCACCCATTTTTCTTTCAACATTTCCTTTTTTTCCTAAAAGGAAATTCTTTCCTGGTTACTACAGTAAAGTGATTTGACAAATAGGATTTGAAAATTGTTGATAGGAATACACCGAAATTAAGATTGTTCATTTTTTTTCTTTCATATCTATATTTTTCAGAATTTGAGACCAAACACTAATCTAAAATTTTTACATTTAAACTATATAAGTTTATGTTTTCCATTTAGGTAGTTCTGCCTTTGTTCATTGACATAAATACCTTGCTTACACACACACTGCTGAGAGCACTGCTTAGGCTGACTTTATTATTATACAACAGGGAATGAGTTTAGAAAAAATCTTAACATAGGAAGGTATTTGGCCATTTTATATAAAATATCTCTAATTTGTACAGAGATGGCATTATTTAAATAACTTCTCAACAGATAACAGGAATGTCACTTCAAACTCCTGATCAGAGAATCGGCTGACAGATGCCCGAGCGCTGTTTCTGATTTGGAGTCTCTTTTCTGCAGACATGGAAAGAATATGGGCCATAGTCTCAGCATAGCCTTCTTCACTGTCAGCCAGAAATCCAGTTACCTCTCCTTCGTGAGGGACGACGATGTCAAGCTTCGGGCCCCCTGAATTATGTGCAAGGATAACTGTGCCAGCTGCCATACACTCAACAATTCCTGAGGAAGAAACAAAACCATGCAGTCATAAGAACAAGATGTATTCATAAGAACAAGAATGAGCAGAAACCTTTACAAATTTTAAGAGACTCATAGGAAATTTAATTAAGTATCTGTATTCCTATAAATTTGCTCATTTAACTTCCATGGTGCAAAAAAAATAATAATTTTAAGGTTTTTAGTTTTCAAACCTTTATAATAATGCTGCTTTGTTCTTAAAGAGATTGGTAGATGGAAGAACAGTGTATACAAAAGAGATATACTACAAATAATTACACAAAGTAGAAGACTAGAGAATGTTAGCAAGATGGTAATTAATAGATATTGAGAGAAAAAGTAAAAAGATATCAAAAGCTGGGCTGGCCGAGTGGCTCAGTTGGTTAAGAGCTCACTCAAGAGTGCGAGCTCTGAGCAACAGTGGTTCAAGTCCCAGCCCGAGCTGAGCTGCCGCTGAGCTGCCAACTGAGGTGGCAGGATGGCTCAACTAAAAAAAAAAAAAAAAAAAAAAAAAAAAAAAAAAAACAAAATTTTAAGAGTTCAAAGGAAAAGAGTAAGCCACCTTAGTGAGGCATACTATTGCTGATGCTTACGTTACTGCCTGGATTTCTGGCAAATTTGAGACTACTGGGTGCCCAATAGCAGTGAACTAAATGAAAGTTTGGTTAGTTTCTGCTAAATGACATAGATGAGGATGTAAATTACTCTAGTCAGCCTTTCTTAACCATGTTGCTAGGGAGAATTAAGCTCTTCAGAAAATGATTTAGTTGATTGCTCTCTTCTCCAAAGGGTGGTGCAGAACTGATATCCTAGATGCATAGGAGAAGGGAAATCAGTACAACTGTTTCTTCAACACTGGTGAAATCTCTACAGAACAGAATTTTCTGCTAATGTTGTAATTTGAATTCTTATTTAAAAAATATGAATTATAACATAATATTATGTTCAAGACTGGATACCATTCCTTTATACTTTCTCAGAGACCTCAATCTAATCAATTTTATCCCCTCCCTCCAGGATTTTCCACCTCTCCCTTTTTACCCTGTTAAATCAAAGCATGTGTGTGTGCATACACACACACAAACACACACACACACACTCACACACTCTCTCTCTCTCTCTCTCTCTCTCTCTCCTCTTCAGGTCACAAGTCCTCCCCTAACTACTATCTTTTCTTTCATCTCCCTTTCACAGATCAACTTAGGGAAACTGTTGTTTGCATTCACTAACTCCTCTTGCTCACCTATGTGACCTGGTGCAGGTCACCTCCCCACTGTCTTGCTGTTCCTCCTCCATGCTCCAGCCAAACTGAACTCAGTTCTTTGAAAATGTCTGGTAACGCCCGTCACAGCTGTACCCTCTGCTGGATCCTCTCCCTTCTTTTGCTTGGCTAACTTCTAATAACCGGTCAGGTCCCAGTTTACTTGTCACATTGTTTCCTGGGCCACTGTTTCCCGACCCCACGAGTCTGTGTTAGGTGCTTCTCCTAGGTGCTTTCATACCTCCCTGCACTGGCCCCAGCATAGTACTCAGCACCCTGTACAGTTACTGCCTGGTGAACTTGTCTGTGTCACCCAGAGAGCTGGAAGAGCAGGTCTTGCTCCACAGTCATTCCTAGCACCCCTCCAGCGCCTGGCACGGTAAAGGCTCAGGATGCATCTGTGGAAGGAAGCATGGGGAGTCAGGCTCTACGCAGAAGCTATGGATCAACAAGTGGCTGCTGTCCTGTCTGAGCTTAGAGTACTGCGCTACAAAGTATGGACAGAAGAGTGTCAGAGAAACTGTAGCCTTAGCAAGGAGACTTCACTTTTATGTTTTTCTATTTCCCCCTAACACTTAGCAGTATGAAGCACAAAGTAGTTACTTGAGAAATGTATGTTGAGCCAACTTAGACAAAAAGCAGTACTTGATTTTATACCAAAATGTGTGCACAACAGGAGGCCAGAGTAGAGAGACACTCTATGCTGGAATAAATATGGCTAAATTAAAAGGGGTAAGGAGATTTAAGTGAAATGCTTAGGACCGGATTTGGCAGAAAGAAAAGGAGACGCCATTCCAATAACGACTGCAGAATCAATAAAAGAACCCAAAGAATTTTGTGAGAAGCCTACCTGGAGACACTGGTTCTCAGCTTTTGGTGCACAACAGAATCACCGAAGGAGCTTTACTGAAAAGCCTCGACCTGGGCCCCAGAGATCTTAGTCCCTCAGGGGCATTAGGGGTGAGCCCAGGAATCTGCACCAGGAGGTGAATGGAGGTAGGTGGGAAGAGAAAATGTGGTGGTGAAGAGCAGGGCTATCTGGGTTAGACTCTTACTATGTGATTGAATTTGGGCAAGTTCTAAACCTCTGTGTCTGAGTTTATTTATAAAGTAGAAATAATAATACCTAACTACTAGGGTTTTAGAGAGGATTAAATCAGATAATACTTGTAAAGACCTCAACAGAGACCCCCCCCACAGTAAGTGATCAATAAATATTAGCTATTATCACTATAAATTATTATGCCTTACATGGTCTCAAATCAGGAAAGCACACTTGGTAAACTGGGGGAAGAGAATTAGGACTTGATGAGAACTTCCAAAGTATTACCATTTTATCAAAACAACCTAAAATGTATTATGTCATTGTACCTAACAAGTTAAAGGACAAACTCACCAATCCCAAAATGCTCGTTCCACATGGTATGCAGACCAATTGTTGCTTCAGACAAGTAATTCTTTAATTCATCAAATGGAATATTTATTTTAAATTCCACATCTTCTTGAATTCCTAGATCCTCAGAAAGCCTTCTCAGTTCGTTTACCCGATGTTCATCATTTTGGTTACGACAGCCTCCAATGAGGACAAGTTTAAGTGAAGGAAGTGACTCAGTCTCCAACTTATTCAGCAATTTAGCAAAGGCTCTGATCTGCAAAGAATGATTCTTTTCAGGCCTAAACTGGCCAATAGACACCAGTAAGTGTCCTGGGGTTATTTTTTCCTTGTGTAAGGGAATGTCCAGAAAGGTCTGTACGTCACAAGGTGGATAAACAATGTTAGTGCAATGCCCGACCTTCCACAGTGAGAGAATATGGTTTAGAGTCCAAGAAGAATTGACCATCACTACATCACTGCAAGAACCAACAAGTCCATAAACAAAAGCAAATAAATAGTAGTAGATGAGCTTTACTTTGCTGAGAATAGGATTCCTAGTAATGAAGTCTGCATTATTAAATCCAACATTTTGATTCTTCACCACAGAGAGCATGTCAGTGCTGATAGTGGGATAATGAACATAGCTTCCAACTCGGCAACCGCCTAAATACTTAAACAGAGGGAGTGTGAAAGCGTAGCCCATTGAATCGATGTAAACATTGGGAACACACTGCATCAGAGCTTCCCAGCCCAGAAAAATGGATCCTAGACTTTGGCCCAGCAGTGTGAAGTGAGGATAGAGGGAATCTTCCACAAGGTAGCGCTTCTTTAAGAAAACAAACTTCACTGGGTGAGTTAATGTGATGTTAAATCTTCTGGAAGCACCTTGTAGTATTTCTTGACTGCTGACATTAACATCACCAGTATAAACAACATAAACTGCTTCAGGAAACCTAAAACAGAATACAAGCGTTAAGAATTTCATTAGTTTAGGTTCAAATCAAGCAAGAAGTTGTAGATATTTTTTTCTCACAATCATAAGTTTGCTTTTAGACTAAAAAACGTTTTCCACTGTTTTTCATTCATTGTATTTGGACTACTGACTCCACTCTTTCCTGCCCTACAACTCAAATGTTAGTCCTTCAAATGAGACTTCTAGTTCTTTGCTATCTCCTCCATTAAGAGTTTTGCACAGAGCAGACAACAAAAGCTGATTTATAAATGAGACGTTTTCATTTTCAAGAAATAGTCACAAATTTTATTTTGATAACTTTCTCAGTATAAAAATGGTAATGAAATATTAGTAAAACACTGATAAACAAGATTCACTAAAGACTGAATGAAAAGTGTCCTGTAGCTTATGCTGAGTCAGGAAAGTTTTGCAGGAATTAACTGAGGGGAATAAGTTCGTTTCAGAAAAAAGGTAACATTATATGGAAAAGCAAGGAATCTAGAGAAAGCATGATGCTCTTAGCTCAGTACTCTGGAGCAAAGTGTACTTGAAGATGCAGAAAGGGATGAGAACATGTGGAAAGAGCAAGATGAAAAAGCATCTCCTATGTCATGCTAGAGTTGGATTTTTTTTTTCTTATAGGTGAGTTAGGAGTAACCAGCTGCTGAGGAGTATGTGTACAAATATCATGAAACTACCACTGCTCTCAGAAATTAGGTAATCTTGTCAGAAACAAAGGTAATATACAGAGTTATGAGAAGGAAGGAACAATATGGATTAAAGTAGAGAGGGCTTCAAAAAGGTGGGAATTAAGCTGGGATTTAAGAAAATACTTTGGATTTAGGCACTTAGGGCAGATGGAAGAAGAAATACATGGATGGTGAATGAAAGCCAGGATGGGCCAAGAATATAGAAATGTAGAGCTAAGGGAATTACCTGAAGGCTTCAGAACTGAATGGAGGGCGTGTGCCAGGAAGTAGAATAATCATGGAAGGATAAGTTTTTCTTATATGATAAAACAATAATGGAACCTGTATTTTACTACAGAGCCTGACTTTTTCCTTTCTAAAAGGGAATCATAAATATTTTTGAAATAGGGGTGGAAGAAAAAAAGCCTAAAACACGAAATGAAGTATAACATCATATTCTTTTTCTAACATGGTAACTTATGACTAACCAACTGATAATGATATCAAAATGAGAATCAAATAGATGCGTCATAAACATAATTTTGGGTATGCCACCACTGACTAAAGTGCTCCACAGTACTCGGTATATTTATGTTTATTATTCAATTTCTTCTCCACACACTCTCCCAAGGTGACTACTTATTACCACTAAATCATGCTATAAAAGGGCAGATACTTTCCCTTTCCATTTCTTTATCATAGAAATTAAAACTTAATAGGGTCTTGTAAGGCAGGTTGGCATGTGAAATGAGTATTTCCTTATTAAAGAATAGTTTAAAAAGGAATTCCTGGTTATGAATAAATTACTAGAAAAAGATGAATTCTGAGTAATGATTTTTTAAAAAAGTGATAACAATATAGCCAATTAGCTAAGAAAGCTGCATACCTACTTTTTCTGCAGGGCCCTTAATGCACACCATAAAACTCTTTCTCCTCCTCCGCCAGCATTGCAGTACGGATGAAAAAATGCAATCACCATTTGATTTTTCCCATTTTTTCCAGTTGATGCTGAGTTTTTCTTTCTCTGTAGCAGCACTCTGATTCCCCAAAGGACAATGATCAAACACAAACATAAAGTTCCACAAACAATTAACCCAGGGAAGAATAATGAATAAAAAAACCTGAAACAAGAGGGGAAGGGTGAAAATAGATATAAATGCCCATTGAACAAAAATAAGATTACAAAGTAAACTTTACTTTCACATATCTACTTTATATATTAGTAGCAGAGAGAAAAATTTAATAGCTTTGAGAGTCTGCTAACAAAATATTCAACTATTAAAATTCTAATGCTACAAAATATCCAATGATTAAAGTGTAAGTCCCCTTTACTTCCAGTCTCCATAGCACATTGGCAATGTAATGTATTTTTTCTTTTTAATCAGCAGTAAAAATAAACATTGAGCCAGCCACCTTTCTCCTAATTCAGTATATGTGTTAAGGGATTAAAATAAATTTAATTATTAATCTCAACTAGACATGTATTAGCAATGGCACCTAATCCTCAAAATGGCAATATGTAACCCAAAGAAATGTCTTCTTGAATGATCAATATTCTATGAGTTAAAAGTTTGATGAGAGGGCCAGCCGTGTGGCTCGTTGGTTAAGAGTTGGCTTGGGAGCGCAAGCTCTGAGCAGCGGGGCCGCTGGTTCGGATCCCACATGGGCCAGAGACACTGTGCCCTCTACAGCTAAGATGGTGAACAACAGCTTGACCTGGAGCTGGGCTGCCGTGAGTCGCCAGCGAGGGCGTAGGCTGCAGCAGGGGCTGCTGTAAGCTACCTGAGTAACCGGCACACAGCGTGAGCCGCCGTGAGCCACTGCAAGTGGCTGCCTCACCTGGGAAGAGCGCAATGATCACAATACCAACATGGGCCAGTGAATCGAAGTCCTCCATAACTAGACTAAGGAACCAAAGGACAACAATTTGTCTGTTCCCCTTCCCCGATTCACCAATGCTGTTCCCTCCCCCAATTCCGAAAAAAAAATCTTTAAAAAAAGTTTGTTGAGATAGTAATTATTTTTATTCTCACTTCACCTCAAGTAGCACAATTTCTGGGGTAAGAGGAATGGAATTTGGATGTCTCCATTTCTGTTTGAGTTCTGCATTTGATGTGTACGACTCTAAAATCACTGCTTTCCCCTTTCTGCCTCTGAATGAGTTGCCAAAAATCCACTAATGTTCTACTTCATGCACATTAGAAAACTCACTCTCACATTCATTGCTAAAAGGTTCTCTATTATTGCCAGGTCAACTGAAGCTCTGCAAAGGCAAGAACCCAGGCTTGTTCACCACCATATCTCAATGTCCACCATAACCTGGCAAAGAGAAGGCATCCAATAAATATATACTGACTGAATGCAAAATTATATTACCTCCTCAGATGTCTCTTAAATTATGTTAAAATAAATTCTCAAATTATGTATTTCTCTTAGTTAGGGTTGGCCAATATATGAGGTCAGACAATTAAGTTTGCGAACGTGTTGCAAAGATGTTGCTAACCTTTTTGATATCAGAGGGATTATTCATTATGAATTTGTACCAACTGGACAAACAATTAACCAAGTTTACTATTTGAAAGTGCTGAAAAGGCTGCGTGAAAAAGTTAGATGACCTGGATTTTTCGCCAACATTTCATGGCTCTTGCATCACGACAATGCACCAACTCACACGGCACTGTCGTGAGGGAGTTTTTAGCCAGTAAACACATAAATGTATTGGAATACCCTCCCTACTCACCTGATCTGGCCCCCAATGACTTCTTTACCTAAAGATAAAGGCAATATTGAAAGGAATACATTTTGATGACATTCAGGATATCAAGGGTAATAGACCACAGCTTTGATGGCCATTCCAGAAAAAGTTTCAAAATTGCTTTGAAGGGTGGACTAGGTAGGTGCTGGTGTTGGTGCATAGCTTCCCAAGGGGAGTACTTCGAAGATGACTGTAGTGATATTCAGCAATGAGGTATGTAGCACTTTTTCTAGGAGGAGTTTGTGAACTTAATTGTCCAATCTCATAGTTGGTATCTAACTTAGTACTTATAATACTGTGCCTAATATGAAGAAAATCCAGACTCATTCAGATATATACTAGGAAAATGGAGGAGTATATTTTAATAGCCCTTTCAGATAGTTATGGATTTTTTTTATGATACTATACCAAATTAGACAAATGACAATTTCTTAATGGTCAATTGCAACATGGTATAGGAAACCCCTATCAAAGACCTTTTCATACTTAGTTACGTTGTAATCTATTGGTCTATATTGCAGTGGAATGAATCACTTACCTATAAATGATTTTGTAACATCATGACTTGATTATTTGGAAAATATGGGTTCATGACTTATGCAGGCTTTTCAAATGTTGACACATTTCATTGTGCAATATCCAAAAACCACATTTATTAATATCACTACCCATCTCATCAGGGAAATCTTTTAAGTATTGGAAAGTGGTCAAGCTCAGAACAGTCAATACAAGTTTCCTAAAATTCAAATTTTCATTTGAAAGCTCAAACTTTATTATTCTGTCATTTTTCTTTGAACTTTATTAATTTTCAAGAAAATGTCTACCGAATACCTAAATCAGAAGAACCATAGTTTATCTGTCAGTTGTGCTTTAAGTAGAAATGACGTCCCATAAAAATAAAAAAAAAAAAAGTGTCAGCCTGCAACTTAGCAATGATATAAGAGCTTTTCCCTGAGATAACCATGATACTTTACTATGGAGAAGTGCTTTATGCATTCCCCCCATCTCGTTCATAGAATATTAAAAAGATACATTCTCAGGGTTGAGATTTAACAAAATAAATAATTTTTACTGTTTCATTAAGGACATTCTTAAGTAAAACTGGCTTTAGCAAGTGCATGGTGGTGAAAAACAGTGACTCCAAGTACACTTTGATGTCACTGTCTTGGTTCATACCAAGTGGCAGTTGTATCCACTGTTACTGTTCCACTATCGGTGCAAATGTCAATACAATGAAAAAAGTAAATGTTATCTTAACATTATTATAAAAAAAATTTTTGACCTTGAAAGACTTACTTGAACGAGACCAGCTCGCTCACCGAGCACTCCTGACTCATCAGCCAGGAGCTCACCAAAAGGGTACCTGAGAGGATTGGGTGGGAGATGAGAAATAAAGAGAATAGAGACAAAAGCTGGGGACAGAAGGCCTCAGCCTCCTGGTAACAGACTAAGACCTTGTTTATTGGATATACAAGGTTTTTAAGGGGAAGCGACTTTTTCATTGTAGGAAGCAATTCCCTAAAGCTAAAACTCATGGGCTGAGGAGAAACAATTTCTCCTCAGCAACAAGCTATGGTATACTCAATATAAACCAATGATATAGCTAGGCAAGGTTAAACTGAGGCAAATAGAAACTGTCTACAAGTCCACAGTAGCAAGTCCCAAGCATGTGAAGCAGGTCCAT